CACACACACACACACACACACACACACACACACACACTAGAATTGACAAAAGAAATTCAATAAAAAATATAGTCACTGAAAAAATTCACTGGGCAATAAAATTAAAAAGAGAGAGAGAGAGAGAGAAATTGGACACAAGCAGAGAGAAAGTGGACACAACACGGGGAGACGAAACCACAGAGTAAAGAGGAGATCTTAAAGAAGCCAGAAAGAACAGAGTGGGTTCCACAGAAACGAATCACTCTGAGCAGCCACAGAACCAGAAGAAAATGCACTACTACCTTCCTGGTCCTGAAAAAGAGACGTGCCAACCCAGAATTCTACACCCAGCTAGAGAAAGGGTGCCATAAAGACTTTTTCAGGCAAAGAAAACCTACTGCCAGAAAAACTTCCTGAAGAACTCGACAGAATGTACTTCACAAAGAAGCGCATCGCACCCAGATGGAACACACGGGAAGGAACTAGTGAAGGGACAGGCGAGTCTGCAGAAGCAGACTGCAGGAAGCAACAATGCCCGATTTGGTGGCATAAAAACAAGAACTAAAACTCGAGGGAGAACTCAGAAGACAGACTGATGAGCTAATCAGCTCGGGTGAAGGGTGAGAACGCCCATCAGCCTATGCCAGTAACAGGTGCGTATCAGAACGTCACATAACCACTAACACAGTACAAACAGCACGCAGAAGTAAAACAACCGGAAGCATAGGAAAACTTGATCCAAAAAAAGGAAGAAGAAAAGTAAGAAAGGTGGGATCAACAGAAAGTATAAAGTAGGACAGCAGAAAATCCGAATATCATAATCCCCCCAAATCCAAAGAGAGGCACTTTGGCAATTACAGTCACAGATTTTCAGAGTGGGTAAAACCATACGCATCTTGTACCTACAAACGCCCCCTGCAAAAAAGGGCTCAGGGAGGCGGATGGTAAAAGATACCAAATGAATCTTCATCAAAAGAAACCTGGAATGATGACATCAGTATCAGACACAGTGGACAGGAGAGGTGGAAAGCACAGTTAAGGAGGACAGTGCTGTGTGAGGATAAGGAGAACGAGATACATCAGTCCAAACCTCTTTGCTTCCAGAGAGAGCGAAGCCCGACAGGCTTAGGGATTCAACACACCTACAGTCACAGTGGGAGATTCTCACGCACCTCTTAGTAAGTGATGGGGGGGGAGGGGGGGGTAACAAATCGTGATGGATGTGAGAGAAACTCGCACAGCACAGCCAGCAAGTTCGATGGAATGGACCACATCCAATTGGAGAATATTCTTTTCAAGAAAACACAGAATGTTAAATAAAGAGTATGTAATAGCCTACAAAAAAAATCTCAACAAAACACCAAGCAATCTCGATCGGAAGCTAGCTGGCATACGAATGCCCTTGAGTGAAACCTGACCCGCCACCTGTTTTTAAAAATAAAGTTTTACTGGAAAGCGACCAGACTCGTTCAATCACTATCGTCTTTGGTCATTTTTGTTCTACAACAGCAAAATGGAGTAGCTGTTCAAAGCCCAAAATATTTATTATCTGGCATTTACAGAAAAGCTTCCTGACCCCTGTTCTAGATCATACAGACAATGGTATCTGACCACAAAGCAGCCACGTTAGAAATTAACACCATCCGGATATTCTTAAAACTCTGTATTTGGAAAATTTATGCCATACTATTAAAAACCATCAACCAAAGAAAGGTAACAAATCAAAATCTGACGGGCACTGAAAACTGTACAGTAACAAAAATGCTGTATCTTAAAACTCCTGTTCATAGCAATTTACAGCTAAAGTCATACTTAAATACTTACATCTAAAAATCAGAAATTACTGGGCTAAGTATTCAACGCAATTACAAAAGAGTACAATACTTTCAAAGGAATTAATGAGGAAAATTAATGAAATAAAAACCAAGTAAGATAAAAGAATTAAGAAACCCAAAAGTTGCTTTTTAAAAATGGCATTTTAAAAATGGGGAGGAGAAATCAAGGAAAAAAAGAGAGAAGTCACAAAAAAAACACTAAGAATGGAAAGAGAGATACCCTTCAGTAAGAAAAAAAAGAAAGAAACAAGAAAAAAAAAAAGGAAAGGAACAAAAGGACGTTGCAGGGACATCAGAACTAGTTAAAACAACACATAATGCATCATCAGAAAGACTCTGCCCAGTAATTCTTTGCGACTGGTACTATCCATGCCCTCATGGTGCCGACAACAAAGTTCAAACTCAGACTGGTCACGTGAGTTACAGGAGCGGCCAGACCGGATCCGGGCGGGCCTAAGTCCCGAAGCAACACCCCAAACACCACACCGTCCTGGACTCCACTGGTGTGGCCCACTGGGGCTCGCTTACCCGAGGGATGGAGGGCGGACGGGTAGAAATCCACTGGGGCCCGAGTGGGCGGGATCCGTGGGTCCATGTAGGAAGGCATCATCATCCACCTGGGATCGAAGCCCAGCATTTGGGGGTGGTGGGGGTAGAAAGTGCGCTGTGGGTGGGAAGGTGGGGGGTACACGGGCTGCCAGTGCTGCATCTTATATAGCTGCTCCTGAGCAGACAGAGAGAGAACAGGTCAGACCGGTGCTCGGGGCAGAGACCGTGCAGGTGTATACACGCACATGCACGCACTCTCACACATATACACACTACACACACACGCACACACCCCCACCCCCCATACACACACACTCACACACACAGGCACACTAACCCCGGGCTGTAGGAGTCTCTGATGGCTCCCCACAGCTCTCCATGGAACAGCCCGAGTCCCACCAGGCCCCACGTGACCTGCCCGACCACCCACCAGCTTCACTGCACACGACTGCCTGCCCACATGGGGCCCTGGTTGCACACTGGGCCCTCCGTCTAGGAGGCTTCCTACTCCCTTGCATCCCGGCTCATCCCTGCTCCTCCTTCAGGATTCCGCTCAAAACGCCCTTCCTCCGGGCAGCCACCCCGAGTCCCTGGACGAGATGAGGCCCCTGCCTCTGCTCTGCAGCACTGGTCCTTCTCCTCTGTAGCACTGACAGTGGGTGATCGTTTTGAGCTGCCGGTCTCCCTCACAAAACCATAAGAAACTACACGCCGGGTTCACTGTCGTATCCTTGCGGCCTACCACCAGTCACGGCACGTAGAAAATCCAGTGCACAAATGGATAAATACCAGCAAAACCTTCAAAATCTGGTCCTAGACCCCATGGGGGCTCATTTCCAGCCTGCCCCTTCACATCAGTGACCTCCAGGGCTGCCCTCTCCCGTGCACCCAGAATCAGCATTCCGGCAGGACCCAGGTGCAGAGTCAGACAAGAAAAGCGGACCGGGCCGCACCCTTCCCATCTGCAAACAAAAAGGCCCGGGCTGGATTCCCAGGACGGCTCTGTGGGCCTCCGCCCAGAGCTCCTCCTCCGTCTGGACCCCAGGCCCCCGGGGAACCTGACCAGACAGTCTGTCTGCCAGGCTCCTTCGGCAGTCCCGGTGCTTTCAGACTCCTTTCTCTTCCCGAAGGACTTACCCGTCCCCGCCCCCCAGAAGCGTTACACACAGGAGCTCTCGCTGCTGTGTCTGGCTGGAGTCACCCCAGAGACCTTCCTGGTCAGTAGTTCTCCACCAAGCCAGGGAGTAACTGCACAGTGCTGGCTCACACTATAACACCGTCAAAGCACACAAGGAACACAGCTTCGTGTTTACCGCTCAGGACCCGACGAGCTTCCGGAAGACCTCGTAGGGGCCCAGGGGAAGGAGGGTCTGGGGTGAAGGTTTTACAGGCAACCAAATGAGATTCTGGAAAAGGCTAGAGATGCTGGAGATCCTGATTTGTGTCCCTAAGGCACACATGTTCTGCACCGGGATCGTTGTTATTAAGGATGATTTACTGCACATCTAGCTGCTGGGCTACGTGATGTCCACGTTTCATCTGTTTCCCACCCGAGTGCACTGCTCATCAGTAATCATCTGTTCCTTCATTTATCACTCCTGGAACACACACAATCACCAACGGTGCTTCCAGCTGGCCACCAGAGATCGGTACAATTACAACCATCACCCACGTAATCTTCTCTGGGGCAAAGAGCAGGTCCCTTTTACAGTTCACAAAACACTAATAAAGATGACACTGATAACGCCGATCCACCAGAATGCAGGTGCCACAAAACCCTCGCTGCCCCTCTGAGGCCGGTACTCGTTGTTCCTGGGCCACCTGAGGCCACACTCGACCCGAGAAGCTGCACGATTAGGACCAGGATGCACAGCAGTTCAACGCAACCCCTACAAACCCCCTGCTTATCCCAAGCTAGTACACCTCTCTGCCAGCTTTCCAAGCCCTCCCGGGCTTCCTCACTCCTTGGGACGGTCCCAGGGCGGACAACGCTGGCCTATGGACAGGCTGCAGTGCACTGCTCTGAACGAAAACACCACTCTTCAGCGAAACTGCACTGGGTGAGCGCACACCCCGCTGCCACTGCCTCACCAACACCAGACAAGGGAAGACGCCACCAACAACCGTTCTATTCATCCACGGGAGAAATCACTCGGAAAAACAAAACACGGCCAGGGATGATCTTCCAAGGCTGTAAGTTTTCAGGTGCAGCCCCTAACATCCGTGCCAGTGATGGGGATATTCGAGTTGTTTCTTTTCATCGAAGGGGGAGGGGACCAGAGGAGGAGACAGGGGACATCCACACTCAGCAGTCCGATCTGTTTACCTGCTGTTGCTGCTGTTGCTGGCGCTGGAATCTGGGAGGAAGAGACTTCTGGTACTTGCTGAACTCCTGTGCAGGGGACCCAGCCTCCCTGGCGCCCTCCTCACTGCCGCCACTCTGAGCCACAGCTGGAGGAGCCGCGGGGGCTTCTTCTGAAAACGTGTTGGGGGTTCCCTGGGCAGGAAACTCAGGGGAGCCTAGAGGACAAGTAACCAGAGAAACGGCTGCGGTGAGCTCACAGAAGCCGGGCCAGTCAAACGTTTACAGCAAACGCTTGCTCTCGTTGGCACGGACGGTGCACGAGGTCATGGACTCCCCACGACGCCATCGCTTCAGAGGTGAGAGAGAGCTAAGGGTCGAGAGGTCAGAGGAACCACCAGGGTTCCGGAAGAGAAGGGTTCTATCGAAAAGGACCCCAGTAAATGAGAGAGCAGCCACCAGCTCGGCGATAGCCCACAGCCATCACCTGAGCGACATGAGTCAATGCAGCCAAAGGCCGTGCTGGCCACCAAGTCAGCACGTGTCCCCTGGCTGGTTGCCTCATCTGTAAAGGGAGGACAGCAACTCTGTCCATCCCACAGGCCTTTGTGAGCCTTAAGGGAGACAATCCATGCAAGGCCGGTAGCAAGTGTTCCACACAACTTCCCATCTGTATACTCTCTGAAATTCCCTTCTTCCTTACCTCAAGCCACCTTTACAGCTTTAACGAAGTAGAAAAGACGTCAGCATTCTTGATTTTACTGCAGGGGACACCCAAACCCTGATGCAAAGCCTCAGGGACCCAGCGGTGCAGCGCAGGGGGAACACGGAAGAGCGCAGAGCAGGTGCCCACACACCCCGAAGGCCAGTCTCAATTGAACACACTCACACCATGGCACCCGCTTCCTGGACTCTCCACTGCCTGTCTCAGCGAGTGTGGACACCAGCACAGGCTGCACTCGGGCCACAGTGAGAGGCGATGGGCAGGACAGTGGCGGTTTCTCGGTGTTCCTTGGCCAGAAGGGGGCTGAGGACCAGCAGACCATGACCATTGAGTAAGACCCACCTGAGAAGCTTTCAGGGTCTGAAACTAACATCAGGCCCCTCTCTCCTAAACAGAGTTGGTTTTAGTTCGTTTAAGAAGGTCCCAGAGAACAAAGCTGGTCATAAAGAACATGTTCTTTACAACTGCTACAAGGCACTTTTCGACGTGCAATGCTGTTCGACATCTCTTATGGAGCTGTGTGGATCCAGCCCTCAGAATCCAGGCCAGGAAAAACATACTCTAACAAACAGGCAGGCTTCTCCCCAAGGTCACAAAGATACTTTGTGGTTCTCTCTCTCTCTCTCTCTCTCTCTCTTTCTTTCTTGAGATACAGTGTGTGCATGTGCGAGCACAAGTGAAGGAGGGGCAGAGAGAGAGGGAGAGAGAGAATCCCAAGCAGGCTCCGTGTTGTCAGCACAGAGCCCAACTTGGGGCTCGATCCCACGAACATGAGATCATGACCTGAGCAGATATCAAGAGGTGGACGCTTAACCGACTGAGCCACCCCGGCGCCCCACTTTGTGATTTTGGGTTTTTTTTAAATGTTTATCCATTTTTGAGAGAGACAGAGAGACAGAGCATGAGCAGGCGAGGGGCAGAGAGAGAGGGGAGACACATTCCGAAGCAGGCTCCAGGCTCTGAGCCGTCAGCACAGAGCCCGACGTGGGGCTTGAACTCACAAACTGTGAGATCATGACTTGAGCTGAAGTCAGCCGCTTCACCGGCTGAGCCCCCCAGTCGCCCCACTTTGTGATTTTGTTAAATGAACTCAGAGGACCCCGGGGCTTGCATTGAGGCCCGCCACCATCCGCATCTTTGGTTGAGCAGTGGCAGGGGTGAGAATGGCCACGAGGTACAGAATGACAACCAAGCGGGCAGCGCGCACACTTTCCGTATCTAGAAGCTGCACGAGGTGCTTTCTGTACGTTATCTCACGTGCCCCTCAGCGTGTGGCAAAGTGCGTACTAATTCCAGCCCATTTTACAGATGAGGGAACGGGCACCAGGGAGGCGAGTGGCCGCAGCCAGCCGGTTTCAGTCCCTGACACGGGACGTGAACCCATGCCGAAACTCAACAGCCGGTGCTTCCCCGCCCCCTCCAGCTGCCCGCCACAGGCTGAACCAGTAAGGCAGGGAGGCACCCACAGCCTAGGGCGTCCAGTTGATGGGACAAGGGCCCAGCGCCTACCTTTGCGGACAGCAGGGCCATTCTCCTGTGGGGGCACCTTCTCGGTGCCTGGAGATCGGGGCACTTCCTTCTCTGCCGGTTTCGGGGCCTCGCCCGCCTTCTGAGCCTGCTTACGCTTCTGGTCCAGCTGCTTGAGCTTGGCGGCACAGGCAGCCAGCCTCTCCTCCCGTGCTCGGCGCTCCTCCTCCTCCCGGCGCTTTCGGGCTCGTTCCACGGCCTCGGACATCTCTGACTGCACAAACTTCTGCCGTGGAGGTGGCTTGTCCTCTTTGTCCTCGACAGACTGTTGCCGGAACACGCTGCCCAGCGAGGACTTCTGCCGAGAGAAATGAAGTCTGCTGGAACAACAGACCCCAAACCCAGGAGACGGGGCCACCCCAGCATGGGAGCAGTTCTGCTTCCCAAGATCCCCGAGCACCTTCGAGAGGCAGCAGTCACGCACGCCGCGGACCTGGGTCTCCAGGCCCTTTCCTAACCTGCAGTGAGGTCTGGGCAAGTGTCAACCCTCCCTCCCTTAGCTCCCCACTGTAAGCTGGGGATAGAGGAGGCCCTCGGGATGGTGGGTGTGCAAGGAAGGATTCGCACCACACTCTGCATGGTGACCGACAAAGAAAACAGCACCCTGGTGCTCCCACCACCACTAATGGGCACACAAGATAAGGGCCTCCACGGCTACTGGACGGGAGCAGGGACCACAAGCTCATCCCCCCGAGTAGCAAAACGGCTCTAGTCTTTCTCCCGTAAAAATACAGAAACCTCTGGGAATAAAGAGGTATGAGAAATTAAAATGCAGTCAGATCGACGGTTACAAAGTGACGCTTCATCTAAAAACATCTCTTCCGGCGACTTCATCCACTCCTGAGTCTCTCTCACCGGTCACCAGTTACCGGACAGCAACAGAGAGAAGCCCACTCAACACCGGGAAGGTTCCTCCCTGATCTGCAGGGAGCACCCAGAATATGCACCAGCACGGACGACGGCCAAGTTCAACCGATCCCCAGCCACTGGAACTCCAGCGAGGTGACCGTCACAACACACAGCTTCCCATTCTGAGTGCTAGTGACGCACAGAAGTGTCACGAGTCCTCAAACCTAAACAAACACGGTCTGGGCCTTCTCCAGTCTGCTCGTGAACCCTCCGCAAAAGCGCTATGTGCCACGTTGACCGCAGTCAAGGACTTTTCCTCCTGAGAGCTGGCTTCTCATAATCCAGAGACAACGGTGACAATTGTAAAAGGTCAGAAACCTCTGACCTGGAAGCGAAAGTACTTTCACACGATTAACTGGGGCCGACGTGTGCACTGTCCTTCACGTGGCCCTTGACCAGCCCCGGCCGCGCTCTGTAGCGCTGGGCACAGTGGCACCACAGAGCCTCCACCGTCAGCCCCCAGTGCTCCCAGAGAGGAAGGATCAGCACTCAAAGTGTCTGAATACTTCCATCGAGACGGCTGACGTGCCTTTCCAAACTCCCCTGACAGTAGCTACCATTTCACAGACTCCGTGCTCTGCAAAATACTTGAACTGTTCAGAAATTGGAATGCAGAAAACTACCTTTTCTCTTTCCCGACTCAGTTAGTTCACATTGTTATGAGATCAAAACGAAATCTTCTTTGAATGCTCACCAACCCCAATATATGAACGAAATTTGGATTCACTGCAGGGTAATTTCCAAGAATAGGTCTGTGTCAATTTCTTTTTTAATGTTTGTTTATTTGAGAGAGGGGGAAGAGAAAGAATCCCAAGCAGGCTCTACCCAGTCAGCACAAAGCCCAACGCGGGGCTTGATCTCATGAACCTGGGAGATCATGTCCTGAGCCAAAATCAAGGGTCAGATGCTCGACTGACTGAGTCACCCAGGTGCCCTAGCTCTATGTCAATTTTGTTTCGTTTTTGTTTTCCCCTGTACCTAGCACAGTGCCTGGTACTCAATTTAAAAAAAAACAAACAAACCTGAAGATAAAGTATTTTCATTTTGTAAGATATGGAACCAGACTCCCTTAAATGGCAAAGTGCATTAAAAATGGCAAGTTTTGGGTGCCTGGGTGACTCAGTCAGTTGGGAGTCTGACTCCTGATTTCGGCCCAGGTAATGATCTCATGGCTGGGCCTGCTTAAGATTTCTCTCTCTTTTCCTCTGCCTGTCCACTGCTGGTGAGCTCTCCCTCTCCCTCTCCCTCTCAAAAAAAAAAAAAAGCAAGGTTTGTTTTGGGGTTTTTTCCCCCAAATATATTTAAATTAATGCCTTTTCTACCCCTAATACTGTGCCTCCTGCACAATTCAGTCCCAACGTCATGAAGTCATGAAGTGTGGCACGTCTGGCACCAGGAAGTCATGGTGGCTAAGAGCAGGTGGTCAGAACCCGGGCAGGGAGAGGAGGATGTCCGTGTGGAGATGTGGCTGGTGTGGGAGTGAGAGCCCCATCAAGCTGGGTGAGGAGGCAATTCATAAGGAGAGGTGGCCTAGAGGGGAGATTCAGGGCATCTGTGGGGTTGGGAGTGGGGGAACGACACGGATGGTTGAGTGAGTGAGGAGGGCATCTTTACAAGGGAGAGAGGGTGGGGGCAGAAATGGGAGACGGGTCACGTATAGGGGAGCTGATCGAGGAAGTGTGAATACTGGGGACAATGGGAACAGGTGTCTCACTGTTGGAGACAGGAGGTACAGATACGCGGTGGGAGAGAACTAGGTTGGAATGTGTGGAACCAGAGATATTACTGTGAACTCATAGTTCTCCACGCAGATACAGGAGTAAATAATAAAGACAACACGAACATGTACGTACGCGTGCACGCACATATCTATCTGTACACACACATTTCCTCACTCTGTCCACCAAAAGGACCCAAGAGCAGTGAGCACTCCTGGTGACCACATATTGGTTTCTCAATATCACAAGGGCTGATTCCAGACCAAGGCAGGGTAAGGACAAAATGAGCTTGGGAAAGGTTCTCCTGGTGGGCCTGAAAAAAAAATTTTTTTGAAAGGGAAAGAAAAGAGAGAGAAAAAAAAAAGAAAAAAAAGCCAACTTGTCTAATCAGCAAGCAAGGGATTTGCTCCGTAAGGATGAAGACACATAAAGACAGACGCAGCCAAACCGAAAATACTTGGGGCTTCAGAGCCAACAGTCAGAGGCACAGATCATAACCCATTGGTATCAATAAATAAATTCGAAGTTTCGGAAGCAACAGGACATTCATAGCCTCAAAGTATCTCCCCACAAAATTCTCATCAATTACGAATGTGGAAGAGAGAAACCCCACAGCGTGAAGTTCGGCAGACATTATAACCTTAGTCAAGAGATCAGAGTGAAGGCTGTCAGCAGGTGGGCAGAGTGGAATCAGTGACCTGGCGGGAGGCAACATGAGCCAGTGTCACTCCTGAGAGATTCTAGCCACAAACGGAAACCTTGAACCTAATCGTGAGGAAGCACCAAACCAACCCCACTTGAGGTACATTCTACAAAATAACCGGCTTACAGTCCCCACAAGTGTCCAAGTCCTGAACGTTAAGGAAGGCTGAGGGGCCATCCTAGACTGAAGGCGGCATGTGACTCTGCACCGATTCTTCCGTACAAAGAACATCAGCGACACAAGTGGTACAAGACGGAGGGGGTCTGGGGATCAGATGGCAGTGGTTATCGACACTACCTTCCTAGTTTTGACTGAGGTCACCCAGGAGGTAGAAAATAGATGCCAACGTGTTCTGCGGTGACAGGGCCTGGTCAGCCCGGCAACTTACTCTACAAAAGGTTCAGAGAAAAATATTCTTTGTATCCAGCTAACTGTTTTGAAATTTTCAAAGACTTTTTTTTTTTTTTTTTTTTTAATTAAAACAGGAGAAAGAAACGTCCACCTAGGACTTTTATGTACGTGTGTGCACCTTCCAAGCTAATCACATGCACAGAACCCCTCCAGTGCCCATGATACCTGGTAGTCTGGGCCAGATGCCCAGCTGTGAAGCTTCCTAGAAGGTGGCTGAGGTTCTGGCACTTTGCGGACAACACGGGCCACACCCACGGCTTCACCCCAGTCCTTTCCTTCCTCTTGGGGACGCTTAGCATCAGCACTGTCCGCGGAGCTCATTGACAACTGCCGCTGCCGTCGGGGGTCCCAACTGTTCCTAGGACAAACCACAGTGAATGTGAGTTTTCCCATTCAGCCCCAGTGCAGTCTGATCTTACCCGTCACAGGGCCTCAGGAATTCCGAAGCCAGCTGCCCACATACCAGTGTCCTTCCCTCGAACAGACCCAGCCCCTCACGGCTGAGAGGACACGCCCAGAACACAATCCGGTGGCACCAACATTTACCAAGTCCCTCTTGCACACAAAGCTCTGGGCAGGATGTTTCACACCCATTACTTGGTTTACAGGAAAACAAGTCCTCACCCCCATTTTAAAGGGGTGGTAACGGAGTGTCAGAGACGCTGGGGAGCTGCCTTCCCAGGAGGAGTGACTAGACTGGAACCTAAGATCCCAGAGGAAGGTCTCTCTCCTCATACCAGGGCTCCTTCCCTGTGCTTTGCATAAAGGAGGTGCTCGATCGATTTTCCTCAAAATAGCAAAAGAAGGCTCACTGAATAATGCCGTAACGGAGACCAAGAGGAGGAAAGCAGAGCAGACTCCACGTGAGAAAGGGGAGAGGTTCCAAAGGGAGGCTCGGAGGGAATGGAGATCCAGCCCGTGCTCACCTTTACCTGCCGCGGGGGAAACAAAGGCACCAGGGAAAAACACCGTGTGCATTTACCAAGCACCTCGTCTATGCAAAGCAAGTGCCCAGCACACATCAAGGAGTTCCGAGAAAAGCAGGGAGTCAGGTGTGGCCCGCACGTGCGTGTCCGCAGGTGTCCACACACACACCAGGGGTGGGGGGGGGGGGGGAATGAGGCTGCGGAGGTGGCTGAGGTCACGGCAGGGCACTAAGTGCTAGTGACTACTGCCTTAACCACACGAGGCTCCCGCCCCCCCAGGAAAGATGACAAGGGCACAGTGTGAAGGAAGGAGGCGAGCCGGCTAACCTCTGAGTGGTCTGGAAAAGAAAGGATGAGGTCCCAGGGACCCAGAGACAGTGAGCGGGAAGGGCTGGGATCCAGGGAAGTGTCAGGAAGCCGTCACAGGTGGGGAGACAAGATGTAAGGAAGACCTGGGAGCTTGGAGGAGGAGACTCACAACCAGCTCAAAGAACACGGTGGAAAGATCAGGTTCAGCAGGGTGGGGTGGGGGTGGGGGGTGGTTTGGGGATTCTCAATTTGAGATGTCCTTGGTCACATTAGCAAAGCCGCGTCCAAATCCATGCCTAACTCTTTCGGTTGAATATTCAATTCACATCAACCGAAAGAGACAAGGAACAGAGTGTCCTACTGTTCCAGAAGTCTGTAATATTTTATGTCTTTGCTTTTGATTTAAATTCTTGCTCACAATTCCTTCTGAGCTTAGTGTTCCAAGAACTGACCCACAAGATATTTCCCAAGTGCGTCTAAAACTTCAGTTAAAATCACACAGCATTAAAATAAATTAGAAAAGCCTCAAATAGTTAACTGTTTGTGTATCAGAGAAAAACTAGCAGAAGGTCACTACCAGCTCCCTCTAGAACGGCTTTGAAGGGAGGAACATCGAATAACCAAAAACAAAACAAAACTAAACAAAACAAAAAACAAACCAAGGCTCGCAAACTTGGCCCTCTGAACATTCAGTTATAGACAATAAAATAGACAAAAGGAAAAACATCAAGGGGTGCCTGGGTGGCTCAGTCAGTTGAGCGTCTGACTTCAGCTCAGGTCATGATCTTACAGTTTGTGAGTTTAAGCCCCATGTCAGGGCTTGGAGCCTGGAGCCTATTTCGGATTCTGTGTCTCCCTCTTTCCCTGCCCCTCCTCTACTCGTGTTCTCTCTCTCTCTCAAAAATAAACATTAAAAAAAAATTTTTTTTAAGGAAAAACAGCAAAGTATTAATATCTAAACAATATATAACATTGATCACGTTTTAAAGGAAATACACTAAGTCCAATAAATAAATATGCAAAGAACATAGGCAATTCCATACAAAAGAAAGCATCCATATTTGCTGGTATTCAACATAAATAAATAAAAAGCAAATTAATGCAGCTGTAGGTACTATTTAAAAAGAACCAGAGGCGCCTGGGTAGCTCAGTCAGTGAGGTCCGACTTTGGCTCGGGTCATGATCTCACACTCCGTGAGTTTGAGCCCCGCGTCCGGCTCTGTGATGACAGCTCAGAGCCCGGAGCCTGCTTCGGATTCTGTGTCTCCCTCTCTCTCTGCCCCTCCCCTGCTCATGCTCTGTCTCCGTCTCAAAAATAAAAATAAAAATAAATTAAAAATTAAAAAAAAAAAAGTACTAGCCACAGACACCTGGCTGGTTCAGTGCATACAAAGTGTGACTCTTGATCTCAGGATTGGGAGTTCGAGCCCCACGTTAGGGATGGAGTTTACTCCAAAAATAATAAAAACAGGGCGCCTGGGTGGCTCAGGCGGCTAAGCATCTGATTCTTGGTTTCGGCTCAGGTCATGATCTCACAGTTTGTGAGTTCGAGCCCCACATCGGCCTCCATGCTGACAGTGCAGGGCCCGCTTAGGATTCTCTCTCTCTCTCTCTCCCTCTCTCTCTGCCCCTCCCTTGTTCATATGTTCTACCTCAAAATAAATTCACTTAAAATAAGTAAATAACTAAAAACAAAAAGTCCTGGGGCGCCTGGGTGGCTTGGTCGGTTAAGCATCCGACTTCGGCTCGGGTCATGATCTCACGGTCCGTGAGTTTTGAGCCTGGCCAGCGTCAAACTCTGTGCTGATGCCAGCTCTCTAAGAGCCTGGAGCCTGTTTCGGATTCTGTGTCTCCCTCTCTCTCTGCTCCTCCCCTGTTCATGCTCTGTCTCTGTCTCAAAAATAAATAAACGTTAAAAAAAAAAAAAAAAGTCCTAGCCAATCATTCTACCATCAATCTATTACGACAAAAACTAGAGGGACCAGACTACAATGCAGTGATTTTCCAAAAGGCGTCATAAGTAAAATGAGCCCAACGAAATGACCCAGAAAAGGGAAGACCAAAGGGGTCGAGGAAGCTCCAGAAATCTCGTATCCCCCGTCCGGCGCTTCTCCCAAGATCCCTGATGTGCACTCTAGCACGCACAGCCCCGGAGTAAAGGGGTAAGTTGAACCCTGGTGGTTTCCCAAACGTGCTTGGCTAGAGAAACCCTTCTGGGCACCACACCCACAGAAGTGATCTGTGGAACAAGCGGCGTATACACACACACTCAGGGGGACACCGGCACAGCGGCTGAAACCACCGGGACTCAGCCGGCCCGCCAGCCACCCGGCCAGCACACCCTGGCTCCCGTCCCGCACGGCTGTGCCATCCGCAGAATGGAAACCAAATCTGCCCCAGTGAGGCTGCCGGGGCGACGAGGCAATGCGCCTGGCACGGTGACCCGCACTGATGCGTGCGCCTCCGGCCGCGGTCAAGCCCCGGGGCGCGGTGCCACGAGCAGGGCTGGGGGGCATCCTTACCACTTGGGCCTGCCGTCCTTCCCAACTTCCTCCTCCTCTTCATCATCACTGAACTTCAGTTTCTCGGAGTAGTCCACTTCCTCATGAAGACCTGTAACCGGGGAGGGCCAGGGAGAACGGGCAAAGCCAAGACTCAGCAGCGCCAAGAGCACCAAGAGCGCCACACACGGGGCGAGGGGTGGGGGGGGCTTCCTCCAGTCGGAGGTCATCCTGGCCCAGCTGAGGAGGAGGGCCACCCAGCCAACCGCAACCACCAGACACTGCAGATCAAGTGAGGGACAGCTCCGGCTTCGGGTGACAGCAAGGCGGCCCCGTCAGATTAACCTTCCCACAGAGGACAGTTCTTAAATCTGGACAAAGTATTTTGGAATTATATTGGAAGGTGCAGAAGAGTGAACGAAAGAAAGCAGGCAAAAACCAGACAGGACCCAGATCCATCTGGCAACACGGAGGCTTGGCCAGCGTGATTCGTGGGCTGCTGCTTGTGCCCTAGGGCACTCCCCGGCCTGAGCAGCTCAGGGGCAGAAAGTGCCCATCAGCTGGCAAGTGGGCACACACACTGTGGGAGATCCACACAGGGGAATGGTACTTTGGCCACAAAAATGAATGCAGACAGGGGCGCCTGGGTGGCTCCGTCAGCCGGGTGACCGACTTCAGCTCAGGTCATGATCTTGTGGTTCGTGAGTTCAAGCCCCGCATCGGGCTCTGTGCTGACAGCGCAGAGCCTGGGGCCTGCTTCCAATTCTGTGTCTCCCTCTCTCTCTGCCCCTTTCCCACTCGTGCTTTGTCTAACCCTCAAATATAAATAAACATTAAAAAAAAAAAAAAAATGAATGCAGACACACCCCCTCAACAAGACAAACCTTGAAAAACAAGCTCAGTGAGAGAAGCCAGATGTGAAAGGCCACATTCTATACTGGTGCTTCCATTTATATGAAATGTCCAGAATAAGCAAAACCACAGAGATAGAAAGTAGCTCAGTGGTTGCCAGAGGCTGTGTGCGGGGCTGGGGGGTAAGTGAGAGTGACGGTTAATGATACAACACTTCTTTTGTGGCTGATGAGAATGTTCTCGAACTGGACAGTGGAAATGGTTGCACAAACTTGTCAATATACTAAAGATCCAATGAATTGCAGACTTTAAAAGGGTACACGTTATGGTATATGAAATTTGTTATATGCACCGTATCTTAGTAAAAAGGCAAAAAGCCCAATTACAAAGCAGATTTAATGAAAAAGCAAGGGCAACTATATGCTGTCTAGATCATCCGTTGAAATACAACCACAAATGGGTTGAAAGGAAAAGGATTAAAGAAAAAAGACACACCGTTTACACAGTAACACCAGAGCAGTAGTAACACAGGACAAGACAGACTCCAAGAAGCACTTCCAATGATAAAGGACATCTGCAAACAATACCAAGGGTCAATGTGTCAACTCATAAAAATTATAAATGTGCATATGCCTAACAATAGCTTTGAAATCAATGAAGCAGAAACTGATAGAATTAAAGGGAGAAACAGATAAATCCAGTCACAGTGGAGAATTTAATGCCTCACTGTCTGAGAGGATCATACAAAAACATCAGTAACTATGTAAGGTCTGAAAGACACATTCCACAACCTTGCTAGTGACTAAATTGAGATTTACAGAATGTAATAATCAACAACCGTAGAATACGCATTCTTTTCAAACGCACTTGGAATATTCATGAAGAAAGATCATGTTCTGATCATAAAACAAGTCTCAGTAAGCTGAAAAGAACTGAAATCATACAGTGCATGCTCTCTGACTATAATGGAATTAAATTAGAAATCTAGAGAGCCCCAATAATTAAAATGAACAGATAAAATGAAATAGAAACAATCCAACAACGGAGAAAATGAAAGCCCAAAACTGCCTTTTAGTAAAAGATTAATAAAACCAATAAGCCCTTGGCATAAGTAAGAAAAAGAAGAATACAGATTACCCAATTAATGAGAAAGAAAGAAGTCCATCACTACAGAGCTTACAGACATCAGAAAGAAAAGGAATTGCTATCAACTTTATACCAATAAATTCAATCACAAAGAACAAATAAATCCCTTGAAAAACACAACTTACCAATATTGACACAAAACAACAAAGGGAATCTGAGCAGCCCCATTAACTACTCACAGAAATTAAATTATCACTGGGGCGCCTGGGTGGCGCAGTCGGTTAAGCGTCCGACTTCAGCCAGGTCACGATCTCGCGGTCCATGAGTTCGAGCCCCATGTCAGGCTCTGGGCTGATGGCTCAGAGCCTGGAGCCTGTTTCCAATTGTGTGTCTCCCTCTCTCTCTGCCCCTCCCCCGTTCATGCTCTGTCTCTCTCTGTCCCAAAAATAAATAAACGTTGAAAAAA